ATTATTATTATTATTATTATTATTATTATTATTATCATGATTATTATTATGATTAATAATAATCATAATAATAATGATTATTATTATGATTATTAATAATCATTACAACTGTCTGTTACTTTGCACATGGTTTGCGTTCTACAGGAAGTGTCCGGACGGATTCGACTGCCTCAAAGTCGGAAGAAACCCAAACTACGGCTACACCAGCTTCGACAGCTTCGGCTGGGCATTTCTGTCTCTTTTCAGACTCATGACACAAGACTGCTGGGAAAAACTGTTTCATCAGGTGGATTCTGAAAAAAAAACAAAACTTTTAATTGTCTAATAATATATTGGGGTTATTAATTTTATATTGTATACGTCCTTAGACTCTGCGCTCAGCCGGAAAGACCTACATGGTTTTTTTTGTGCTGGTAATCTTCCTGGGCTCCTTCTACCTGGTCAACCTTATCCTGGCCGTCGTGGCGATGGCCTACGAGGAGCAAAATCAGGCAACCATAGCAGAGTCCTGGCAGAAGGAAAGAGAATTTCAGCTGGCTATAGAACACCTTCGACGAGAACACAGAGTAGGCTCATGGCACCTAGAGGGCCTAGATTACAGATCTGCTTTGAACTTAAGAAGTAACATTTGTGTCTCTCTTTTTGTAGTTGGCAGGAAAGAGACAGGCCCAGGAGAGAAACTCGGTTTTGTTTCCTGAGTGTTCTCCGTCACGTCTGAAGACAGGAAGTGCAAGAAAAAACAGCAGCAGCAGGAGAAAAAAGTCTTGGGGGATGTTGTCGGAGGAAACAGAAGAGGAAGCCGGAGAGGAGACCTTTGACCCCTTGAATGAACAAATGGTATTGTTATAGTTTTTAAGGAAGAAAACTAGATGTTCAAAACTTCTCAAAACTATCATCACAAGATCAGATTATGATGAAAACTTTCCTGCACTTATTTATTTATTTTTAAAAGGCAAACAAAGGTAAGCCAAATTGAGCGATGCCATGAAGGGCTACACAATTGTCCAACAAGCTAATACAACAGCTTGAACAATTTGTGAATTCAGTTGTGTCCATTCACGACAGTGTTTCTGCACCAGATACTTGTGCCAAGGGAAATTCCATTTGAGATTCACGGGTCTAGTTCAGGCCTGGGCAAACGTTCTGAGTCTGGCCCCCCAGAGCCATAGTTTGCCCATCCCTGGTCTAGGTCTTGGGCACTAATGTACCCTCTTTGTCTCTGCAGCGTCGTCTTTCCCTGCTGCCTGCCCACCCTCTGCTTGCCACACTCTCGTCTCACCCGCTAAGCACCAGAAGAGCTAGCCAGAACAGCATCTTTAGCTATTTCCAGACACGAAACAACTCTGAGGCTGAATTTGGAGGCAATGATAATATCGTTCAAGAAGATGCCTTTAGAAGTCGCGCCGGCTCAATAGCAACGCCGTGGAAAAGAAGGACAAGTAATCTCACCGTCAATGGGCGAGCGAGTGTTTCCCTGGAGCAAAATGGAGTCACCACTCCGGGCCGGCACACCCCAACCTCCATGCTCAGGGGCAACATTGAAAGAATCAGAGAACACACTGTGAGTGATGCTAAGAAATGCGTCAGTGACAATCGTGACTACGCTATTAAGAAACGTTTATCACAATACAGGATCCAGTTCCTAGGCCTTCACTCACAGCGGCTGAGCCTCCTACAGTTCGCAGAGGGAGAGAACTGAGCTCGGTCAGTTTCTTCAGCGAGGCTATAGATGGTGAGTTTTTCTCTCTGTTTAAGGGAAATGGGGTTCCCAACAATGGAAGTGAGGCGCTTTGGCCCAGCGGCAATGTCTCTGTCATTGATGTGGAACCCCAGAGTTCACCTCCTGGGCAAGATCGAATCCCGGGTAGGGCGGTTGGTACCTTCAAGTGGACTCACCACCCGCAGGAAGGTTTAGGGAGGTTGGTACGGTGCATTGTGATTTGGGTGGCGACTGCTGCCCCCGCGACCTGGTAACGGATAAAAATGGATGGATGGATGGACAATGGAATTGATTCACTTAAACTCTGTGCAAGTTCGATGTTTTACCCTTATCCTAAGCCACCTTAATTTAGCCCAGAGGTTCCCAAACTTTGTCCACACCCCCAAGCAAATAAAAAACGGGACACAGACAATGTTTATTTTTTGACTGTTTCACACATTTTAAATGTTGTGACTGTTTTTACGCGCCTTAAACGCTAGCATTGCCAGCGGTCATCAGTTGGGAGGAGTGAGATTTTTGCCACTTTGGGAACCTCTGCTTTAGGTAACACCTGAAACTGACGTTATAGATACGATAGCACAATCTCAAAAGGCAGTTTTTTCTGGGCTTGAAACGTTCGATAATAATGTAAAATAAACATTCCATTAGAAAATTCATAATAATAAGTGTAAACTCAAAAAAAAAAAAAACTGCGTATTTTTTTCAGAGCTACAAGAGTCAAGGCAGTGTCATTCGAGCTGGTACACCTTCGCTAAAAAGTATCTGATATGGGACTGCTGCTCCACGTGGCTGAAGATGAAGATGGGTTTGAAGTACCTGGTGAAGGATCCTTTCCTTGATCTGGGCATTACCATCTGCATTGTGCTAAACACTCTCTTTATGGCCCTGGAACATTATCCCATGACTGAGGAGTTCAACTCAATGCTGTCAGTGGGGAATCTGGTAAGAAAACGTTTTTTTTTATTGACACAAGTAGGCATATCGTGGCGTTCTGGCCCCCGAGGCAATGTCTCTGTTGTTGGTGTGCCCTCCTGGGCAAGATTGAATCACAGTTAGGGTGGTTGGCGCCTTCCGGTGGACTCACCACCCGCAGGAAGGTTCGTAACGGTCGTGGAGACCGCTGCCCCCTTGCATGGTAACGGATAAGCGGACGAAACTGGATGGATGGATGGATGGATGGAAGTAGGCATATATGGAGTATTGATGGATATCTGATTGAGATCAGATAATAATATTGGCCGATATTGGCTTAATTATGTAATATCGGTGGGAATCGTGATTGGTTTTTACCAAACACAATGTCTCGGTTTGGCCTAGATGATGAGACCTAAAAAATAGTTTTGAAGTGAAAGTGAAACTATTATTTGAATTGTGCACAGTATTGTCATTGCGATACAAGCACACCATTGCACACAATGAAAATACGTCCTCTGCCTTTGACCCAAACGGCTGCATATATTGGTATCGGAGGATATCGTAATCGGAAAGTGTTTAGACACCCTTTTTTGACCCTAAAGGATTTTCTTGGGAGTTGGGTTCCTCAGCCGATACGAGGGTCTATAAGGGCAGGGGAGGTTAATTACTAAGTTTAATTTATAATATTGCTCTATATTTTGTTCAGTACCATTCACTGAATATTTCATTAACTGCACTTGTTGTCTTAAACAGTGTTTTTTTCTTTACCAGAAAAACATTGTTTCCTGAAAGTGGGCAACTAAGTTGAAACTATGTATTGTTTTTTTAACATGTTTTTACTAACTTATAACTAATCTATTTGTTCAATGCATCCAAAAAGCTATTGTTCTAAATCCTGTAAATCTGGCGTGAAAAAATCCAAAAACATTGATGATTTCTTTTTTATTTTCAGGCATTTACGGGAATCTTTACAACAGAGATGGTCCTAAAGGCAATAGCTCTTGATCCTTATCACTACTTTCAGCAAGGGTGGAATGTTTTTGACGCCGTCATTGTTTGCCTCAGTCTGATGGAGTTGGGTCTTTCGAACGTAGAAGGACTGTCTGTCCTGCGCTCCTTTAGACTGGTAAAATAAATCCCTCCAAATCCTCCAAAATTGGAGACGGTTTTGAACTCATTTAATTTGATTTGATTTTTTTTTTCTCCAGTTACGAGTCTTCAAACTGGCAAAGTCCTGGCCGACTCTTAACACTCTTATCAAGATCATTGGTAATTCCGTTGGCGCTCTTGGAAATCTGACCCTGGTGCTGGCCATCATCGTCTTCATCTTTGCTGTGGTGGGCATGCAGCTGTTTGGCAAAAACTACCAGGATTTTGTGTGTAAGATCTCCATGGACTGCCAGCTTCCTCGCTGGCACATGAAGGATTTCTTTCACTCCTTCCTGATTGTATTCCGAGTCTTGTGCGGCGAGTGGATCGAGACTATGTGGGACTGCATGGAGGTAGCAGGGCAGCCCCTCTGCATACTTGTCTTCATGTTGGTCATGGTCATTGGAAACCTTGTAGTAAGTACTAACAAACAGAGCAGGCCTTTTAAGAAAGCATGCATCCTGACATCATTTTTCAAAATAAAAAATCGTTCAGAATCAGACCATAAATGAAACGGAAATTATGTCAGTTATGCGTTCTTTCTGCGCGGCCCGGTACCAATTGACCCACAGACCAGTGCCGGTCCGCGGCCCAGGGGTTGGGGACCACTGATATAACCTAAATCTTAAGACGTAGCAAACATTATCCTTCCTATATTTTTTTTCTGATC